TCCCTACAGTACAATAACCTGCGGGTCCATAACCTCCGGTTAGTACCTTCTTTTAATTTTTTAAACCCTTTAGTGCCATTATAAATTTAAAATTTTGTAATTTTTTTAAAAATTATTCATATTGATAGTAAAAATTTTCTATTAAGAGATAATTTCAATACATATAATTAAAAAAATCAACTCATATTTATTATTATAAATAACTAACTTAACTAAATTAGGCTTATAACCCTGTATTTTTTTTAAAAAAAAAAACTAACTTAACTATTTTTTAAATATATCCAAATTAGTTACACCTTCTTTGTTTTTTTTTTTTGAGCCGAATAGTTATACCTTCTTTCAATTAAAAAAATTTATATTATTTATTTACACCGAAAAAGTTATAGTAGTATTAGTTATAAATTAGGAGCAATAAATGACTTTATATAATTATTTGTGTCCCATAACTCTCACATGGCTGGGTGTTGTTCTTTTTTATATCAAAGGAAGCCTCAATTAAACATCATCCTGCCCATAAATAGCGGTATTAACGCATTAGAGTCTCAGGAGGTTGAGAAATAGCATGGAAGCCATGCAAAGAGTCCAGACCACTCCAAGCAAGGAAGTCGGCAGGGGAATTGTTGCTACACTGCACGTAGCAAATGGTAGTCTCCCAATTTCTGCTTAGCACCGATCTAATCTCACACAGCAGATCATAATCGGCATGGCTTTCCCCCTCCATATCCACAATCAATTCAATGGCCTTGGTCGAGTCCGTCTCTAGAGTCACTCTTCTGTACGTTACGTATCCTGCATCCCAGGCCATCCTAAGCCCATGTAGGCACCCCCAAAGCTCCGCCGTTAGCGCATCACCATCTGCTAGTCAGTAGATCAATACCTGTGAGAACTGCCCATCCTTGTCTTGGAGGAGGCCACCACAAGCGCTCGAGCTGCTCGTATAAGAGAAGGCCCCATCCGTATTTATCTTGATCCATCCATCTGGCGGCGATCTCCAGGTAGCCGAGGTACATGCAGGGGTGGCTCCTTATAAGGTAGTGCCAGCTATGTCCCTCCGAGTCTGCTGCATAATATCTGTCAAAGCCTTGGCACTAGAAATCACCGCTCCGTTTGCGATATGTTTGTCTTCAAAAGTATAAAGGTTCCTCCTCCGCCGCAACCAATAACAGATGATGTTTAAGAAACTAGTCCAATTATCTGGAAAGTTGCCACTAAGTTCCACCATAGCCACTCCTGGAGGTTCATAGTTGCAAAGCGTCTCCACTATGCTGGATGAACCAGCTTACGCCACAAGGCTTTTGTATAACTGCAGTCACGTAACACATAGGACAGCTCTTCCTGTCCTCGGCCACATATGTGACATAGCACGGATTCACTAAGTCCTAGTTTGTGAGGTGCGAAGTTAGTGAGTAAGCTTTGGCGTGCAACTAGCCAAATGAAAGTCCGGCACCGTTACGGAACACAGATTCTCCAAAGCTTTTCCTAGTCAGCATTATACTCTGTGTCCCTGCTGGACAGCATCGTGTAGGCCGATTTGACTGAGAAGTTTCCATGTCATTCCTGTATCCAATGCAGTCTACTACCATCTGTGCTGCATTCTATCCTGGAGCTCACCTTTGCCCAAGTCTCTCTCTGATACCTTTCCATACGTTTGACCCTTGTCTTGCCGTATCTATTCTTGGCAAAAGTTCATCACCACATTTGTACTTATCCCCCATTACTTTAGCCCAGAAATCGTCTCGGTTTTTCACCAATTTCTATCCCAACTTCATAAGCAGCAATTGGTTTTGTAGCCGTGCATGCCGCATGCCAAGTCCCCCTCTATTCTTGTCTTTACAAACCACCTCCCAAGCAGCTAGAGGAATCTTTCTTTGGTTATATAGAAACCCCCCCCAAAAAAAAAAAAAGAAGGTCCGATTACATTTATCCAATACCTCACAAGAATGAACAGGAAGGGAAGAAGTTTGCATCACATAACAGGTAACCGAGGCAATAAGTGTAGCTCTCCCAGCCAGTGACATCGAGGTAGTCTTCCATCGTGTGAGGCGACTCTTGATATTAGCAGTGCTATCATTGAAACTTTCTTGTTAATATGCTAGTTATGTAGAGGGACCCCAAGATACTTTTCCAAATCAGCAGTAGTCGTGAAACCCAAGATAGAGCTCAGCTCTTCACGTCGTGTATGATTGACATTGGTGGGGAATAGAACTATTGTCTGTGTCACTAACTTTGAGACCATAACTGTGGCAAAATGTGTCTAAACAGTCTTTCATGAGTGCAGCCTGCCTTATTGAAGCCTTTGCAAAAAGCAAAATGTCATCTGCGAAGAATAAGTGAGAAATAGGCGCTCCTGTTCAGGTGAGACGGATCGGGTGCCATTCACTAGTAGCCATTTTCTCTTGAATGAGGCGAGCTAGTTTTTTTATACAAATAACAAAGGTCCTGTTTGTTAAGAAGTATTGAAAATTAGGGATAGAAATTGAGATTAAAATTGAAAATAATTTATTTAAAGAGTTTTTAGTATAAGAGATTACTTGATATATAGGATTAACCAAATCTGTGTGTGTGGCATTGGGGAACACCATGGAGGAAATGATATTTCCCAAGCCCACCTCTAAGAGTTTATCTAATCCCATATAATAAGAAATTACTCATATGAAAAATTATTATAATGATTTTTTTCAATTACTCCTCCGGTCCTTAATATAAGACCCATTTAACAATTTGATTAGATTAAGGAAGTTAGGTAAGTTAGTTAATTACAAGAAAAGTGACACATTTTTCCTAAAACACCATAATCATCTTTTTTAATACCCCTCTCCCTCTTCTACTTGATTATGATTGAGGGAGTATCCATAGGGGTAATTTAGAGAAAATTGATAAATATGAGAAATGGGTCTTACATTTAAGACCAAAACCAACTTAAAAATTGGGTCCTATATTAAGGACCGGAGGAGTACAATCTTAATTCCTATCTCTTATTTTTAATGCTTCATACCGGACGGAACCAAAGAGATAAGGCCACATGGGATCACTTTGCTGCACCCCTCGCGAAGATGAAAGATGTCCGCTTTGCATCAGTTCCAAAGTAATTGCAAGTGCCGTTCTGATGCAATTGTCAACAACTTTAATAAGAGTGTCAGGGATGTTAAGTTCTGCCGAGCAGCTTCTCGCAAAGTTCCAATTTACTCTATCACACGCCTTCTCTATATCTGTCTTTATTACTATATACCCCTTTTTCCCTCCATTGTGCACATGAAGTGCATCACTTCGTGTGCCACAACTATATCATCAGAGCTGTGTCTTCCTGAAACGAAACCACACTGATTAGGAGACTGGGTGCTTTTCTAACCTCTAATCACAACTCTCATGTGATCTTGGTATTGGCCTTGGCATTCCATTAGCCAATAAGTGGAGTTTTTGTTTTTGTTTTTAGTTTTTACGGATAAAATAATGTTTATATTTTTAATTATAAAGTACTTTAACTCACATCAGCTCAATATATTTAGTAAAAATATTTTTCACTGTTAATCACATGATATCAATAAAATTCACGTGTTAATCGTGTCCATAGATCTGCTAGGATTCACACGGTTGGGTAATTAATTGCACAGCGACGTGTGGAAAAAGCTACTCCTCCGGTCCTAAATATAAGACCCTTATAGTAGACCGGAGGAGTAATTAAAAAGAACTTCTTTTTTTTTTTTTTACAGCTATCTAATCAAAATCGCTGAAGTGAGATAAACTTTCCCTTCATTTTCAGTTGTACAATTCCTCACTTTTAGGCCATATTCATTTCCTTGTTTTAGAACAATTTTTTTGTTTTTAAAAATAAAAAATACTTGTTTGATTATTAATTTTTAATTAAGTATTTAAAAAAAAATATAAATATGCTTTTAAAAATAAAAAAATCAAAACAGTTTTTACATGTTTTTCTTTTTACTTTTTTTTTTGGTGTTGTTATCTTTTCTAATCCCCTACTCGCTCGCGGTTGCCTCTTTACTTTGGCTCTTGTGCCCACTTTATTCCTCTTATTCCCTCCGCTCCTCATCGTCGCCCTCTACACTCTGTCTTTCACCTTCTCTTAATTCTTCAATTGTAGGTTTTAGAACCATTATCCAAACAGAAATTTTTTTTAAATTTTTTTTCTTTTCAAAGCTTATTTTAGAAAACAATTTGATAAAGGTATTCTAAGGATATAAAAAACAGAAAATAGAATCAAACGACGCCTTAATTACGGACTTGCACTCATTTCTTATGAATTTTTTTAACTTTAACTTCTACTACTTGTATTGCCAATCGATAAGCAACACAGATATATATTACAACATGCAAATATCAAAAACCAACCTTATTTTATTCAGCAAAAGACAAAGCTACTAAATAAAGCCATATATATCTGACCAAAAACATCAGAAGAGAGATAAATAAGAACGAGAAAAAGAATTTCTTCTTCTCCAAAGGGGAAAAAAAAACTCCAAGATGATTATGTAATAGGTTATAATACTCAGGAGAAACCTATATATGAGAAAAAAAACCTCACAAAGGTACAACTCATCAGGCCTCTCCCGTGACAAATACAAGCTGCTTCTCCGAAAAAAATAGAGGTCATAAGCAGCAGTTCAAGACACAAATAACGAGATTATATATACATACAATTGTGTCTGTATGTATATATTTCAACGAAAAACTGCCATGTCACCTTTGGGCAGTTCCAGTGATAATACGAGAATTTTTTCATCTAACACAGAGTCAGAGAGATGAAGTTCATTGCCCTAGTTCTCAAATACCATATATAATACAAGTCCATGCAATAATCAGAACTTAGTTTTGATTGTATCTGACATGTGAGTTTCAGATGCGGATCAAAAATTCTGATTGTACACGCACACATATATATAGCATGTAAGAATTTGAGCAGAATAATTAGCGCCAGAAGAAGATATAAATATATATATATATATATATATATATCAGCAGCAGAAGAAGAGAATCATTATCCCTCAAGAGAAATTAAGCTGAGGGATGCAACTTGAACTCCTTGCAAGGCTTCCTTTCTTGTTATCATTATTGCTGTCTCTGGGGTTAAAGGACCTGACTCTTCTTCCATCAAGCTTATTGCTCTTCTTCAGCATCTCCTTCATGGCTTGAGCTTGAACCAGAACAGGAAAAGCCCGTCCATACTTGTTGAACTTAACACACGCGCTTATGTGTGCGTTTAGGGCTTCCTCTTTCCTCCCTCCATTCTTCTCCAGCTCTTCCTTCACTGCCTCAGCACACAGCCCACACACCCACTTCCCCAAGTACTTGTCCCTCACGCGCTCTATGTACTCCGTCGTGAACTCCTCGCTCATCCCACAGCACTCACACTTGGCGTCTTCAACCTCTGATATTGGTGGCAGTGCCTTCTGATCTTGGATTTCTTCCTTGCAGATCTCGTAGGATATGTCCGACACCGTTCTTTGAAGGTTGTTGCTGGACTTGGACATGTTGCAGGGTGCCATATAGTAGTTCTGCAGACAAACGAAGTACGAGGTAATAAAGACTAAATTTTTTGATGATCTGCTGAACGGGTTTTCGAGGATAATGTAGATGACAAGTTACAGTCTGAATCGTACAATATTTATAGGAGATTGTATGGATGATGGGAGCTGAGATGTCAGTTTTCTCAAGTCGTGAACTTGATAGAACTTTTGAGAAGCCATTTATGAAGAAGCAGCAACATGGGGTTCAGCTTTTTAACTTTATATTTGTGGCTGATGAACATTAAATAAGTAAGTTGCATTATTTGTGTTTAACGTGCAAGTTTTGGAGCCGTTACTAAGAAAAGGCAGTGTCATCACTTTACCACCTTAGCAGTAATACAAGTTGATAAGGGTATTCACATGCTGGAAGGCCTGGTGGGTTGGTGGTAAAGGTAATTAATTATTAGAAGATAAGGGCTTAAATATAATGAGGGTCCGGGGTTTCGTCCACAAACGAAAAGTTGAAGATCACGAGCAAGTGAACGAGCAACAGTGAATGAATGAAAAAGCGGATGGAGTTAGTTGGAATGAGGAAAAGATATTAGGAGGAAGACGAAGGAGTAGTCTCAATCTGATATAGCTGGGTTCATCATGTAGTAGTTGTGGATATGGATGATTGATCGTGTAAGCAATACATAAGCAATGAAATATAATAACCAATCTACGTATTCTGAGGAATATTCTAGAATTTGTAGAGTTTTTTGTTTGGTAAGCACCAGTATCCATCTATTGGAGGCATTCCCGTCTGAGAAATTATTGGGCACGAAATGTGAACGCTTCTTCTAATAGAAATTCAAACCTGAGTTTGTTATGTTGTGAGGAACTAGCCATGATATTTGTGAGCTCTCTGTCTTAAAAAAAATAAAAGGTTTCATTTGTTTTGAGAGCTGACTAATACTCCTCTAATCGTTAATATAAAACCTAATTGTTAAGTTAATTTTTGGTCTTAAATATAAGACTTATTTATCATATTTATCAGTTTTTCTTAATTTATCCCTATGGATATTCTTTCAACTATAATCAAGTAAGTGAGGGAGGAAGGATATTAAGAAAGATGATTATGGTGTTTTAAAAAAACATGTCATATTTCTTATAATTAACTAACTTACCTAACTTTCTTAATTTAATCAAATTAGTTAAATATGTCTTATATTAAGGACTAGAGGAGTATTATATTAAAGGAGATTGCCAGGTAATAAGATCCTTTTTTTTTTTTTTAGTTTAAGGCAATAAGATCCTTATGTTAATATTTGGAGAAGAAGGGTGTCCTAATAATAATGCGTCCTTATCATAAGAAAAATGCATAGTCCACTGATAAGTTATCAAAATACACGAGAACCGAGAGGATAGAGGAAACAAGCAAATATAGCATAGCAGTCTTCTGTTTGCAATCCAAGTGTTGATATAAATTCCAGTGGATACGGAGCAAATCAAACGACCAAACAAGATTCAAGTCTTAATGCACACTACTTCAACTCTAACATTTTTAATTTACTGCCATCAAACAAAAGATCAGTTCATGAACATAAAGCAGATGCAATGAGCATTCTGCTCTTCATTCAGCTCTTTTCGGCAGCCCCATGCTTTGAGAGACAGATTCCACCTTGAAGGCAAGCAAAGCCCTAAAATGAAAGAATGAGGAGAAATCAATGGAAAAACTTGGAAACATTGAATTCGAACCACCAGTTCAGCCAGTCCAGTAGAGGCAAAACCAAAATAATGATTATTATCTTAAAAACATACAAGCAGACCTGTCCTCCATGATCTCATTTAATATGAGTAAAGTTATATAGAATTAACAATTTAAGACAAACTTAATGAGTTAGCTACCATGTCTTAGTTCTTATGAATTTGTTAAAATGACTTATACTAATCTGGTTGTTAATACAAATCACTTATAACATATTTTCGCATGCCAATGAATGCATTAAATGGACAAAATTTTTCAATTTTACCCTTATTCTCTCTCTACAATTACAAATCATGCTCATATTTCTCTGTTTGTTTTTGTCTTTCCAATGAGAATTGAGTAAGGGTAAAATTGGAAAATAAATATTAAATATACTATAATTATGAGTGACTTATATTTAGGACTAAAAATTTTCCCTACAAATGACTTGCATTTACGATTGTGGTGGTACTGTGGACAAAAAGGGAGTAAATGTAACTTTCATTTAGGATCAAAACTGATCTCTTGAGGAGTTAGGTAAATGTGACCTTCATTCAACTGTATCTAACACATTTTTAGTTATACATAAATGTCTTTTATTTTATCAATGGGAGTTGTGAGAGTTAATGAATATAGGTTATGGTTTAGGTTGAAAACATAAGAACAAGGGCTACGGTTCAAGACTTGGGGGTGTTTGGATGAAACCAAACCATGGTTTGAACAATAGCTTCTGGAGAATAGATTTTAGAGAGAATAGGTTCTGTGAAAAAGTGATTCTAAGAAGTGAGAGTGTTTGGATAATTGTTACCAGAAGCACTTTTTACATGTGCAAATTATTAAAAAGGGCATAAGTTAATATGATAATTATATAAGGGATAGATTTTATAATATATTTTGATTTGAAAAAATAAAATTGTTAATGAAATAATTTTTACTAACATAATTAATAATATATAAGATAATATAATTAATGTGTATATATATATATTTATAAAACATAATATTAAATATATTTATAGAAAAATGATTTTTTTTGCTAACAAAAAAATATTAAGAGGCGAGCTTATGAATAATATATAAGAGGTGAGCTGACAAAGAAAGGGCGAAGAGGCGAGCTGAATATTGGTCAGATTCGAGCTGGGTGAGATAGAAAATAATCACTCCAAAGTGTCAGCTAGTGAAGCAAAGGAAGAAGGGTATTTTCGGTCAATGACTATTGCCTCCAATTATTACTCCGCTTCACTCAAATTTTTTTGCCTAGAAGCGACAAATTTCTGCTTCTAATAAAACCATGGTTTCACCAATGGAAACCATGGTTTTACCTGGAACCACGGTTTGAGAATTTTTAAACCTGTTTGGATGACATTTTGTGCAAACCATAGCTTTGCCTTCCAAACCATGGTTTGCTTTGTCATCCAAACAGGTCCTTGAAGAAGTGGAAAGGCTTGCTATTGACTTGTGTTTGGTGACAAGTTTGTTTAACCTTCTGCATCGTACTGGGGGTAGTGCAGACCCTACGTTATTGGACCACTTGAACCTACGATTCTCTTTATAAAAGGGCAGCCCAAGCCGTACTTTCTTATTGGGCGTATTGATGTGGGCTACCTTAAACACAAGGCCCATCACGGCCATTACCGCCACTCAAACCTGTAAAAACAAAACTAAAAAAGAACAGAGAGAGAATACCAAACACTAATTTCAAAGATATGTCGGCCTTCCAGTCTTCCCACCAAAAAAGTCACGTGCAATGCGTGTGGTGCACGTGCTGCGCCGCGTAATATTATTCACTGCTGAGACATGGGCGGCACTACGCACGTGCGGAGGAAGCAGCGAAGAAAGCTGGGGCCTCCCCAATTTCCCGGCCACTAGAGGCCCAATTTGATTATTCCTTTCTATCTCAACTTATTTGAACTTTAATTTATAATCTTATTACTTTTAATCACATGATAGGGAATAGGGTCAGGTGGGATGTGACTATAGCATCTACAAATAGAATTCAAACTACTCCCAAAAAAAATAAAATAAAAAATATTACCATTTCCTTCTTCCAATGATATTTTATTTATAATTATAATATCAATCCCAAATTGTTTTATATTTGAAACAAAATAATAAAAATACTATTATAAAAATAAATAAAACTGTATTGTAATGTAAGACATCAAAGAAAAGTTAATATATATATATAAGAGGATTAATTTAAGAATGTGTAAATGTTGAAAAAAAAAAGACAAATTCTATTAAAAAAAAAAATGCTTGATGGTGTGAGTGGTTTAACGTTGAAGTTAAGGCTGTTGTATTGTGGTTTTGGTCAACTTTGCCATGGGCTCACATGATGGCTGACAAGTGACAACCCTCACTGCCTTTCTCACGTGCTCCGTGGGCCCCACTAATCCTAACATCTATTCCAAAACTTTTTTAAAAAATGAAGTTTTGTTTTTTGGGGGGGTCCAAGAAAAGGAAGAGGTTAAAAATGGAATGGGAATGGTTAACTGTAAACACCTTATCCGCTTTACCGGAATGCATTAACATGGGGATTAGAGTCCCATGAGCCCTGCCCAATCCACTTGCCTCCTCTTTCATGCCCCCATTTCTTACCAACATCAACCAATTAACATCATTTGAAACTACCAATAAGGGTTGGGTCTAACAAAAGACTAGTCCCTCACAACGTGACAAATTAAGGTTTGAATCTCCACTGGAGAGGTGTCCACATTTAGTACTTGACAGTGTCTTGAATAGGATTGCCTCCAATAGGAGGATACCTATGCTTAACCAAAAAAAAAAACATCATTCGAAACTTTCATTCTAAAATCATAAATAATTATATAGCTCACATATATATAAATGTTGCATCTTCGTAGACCCTTTTTGACTTTAGAGACGTATATTGATCTTGATGAATTTGTTTAAGGGTTGTGAAATAATTAAGCTTGTCATTATATGATTAAAAAATTTATAAAAGCTTGTTGGCAAAAGAAATAAATTTATGAAAGGATATAGCTTTAGCCGAACTATGTGTTTCTATCCATTGCATATAGTCTAACTACTTTTTTTGTGTGTGTAAACTATCTTTTTATTTACCTATTTATTCAAAATGCTCAATTTGCCTCTCATCCAAGTTGCAATTACTTAATTAGTCCTTAGATTCTAAGACATTCTCCTAAAAATGATTCTCACAAAATGCTTAATAAAAAGCAAATTATATCAAAAAGTAAAGGATAAAATGTTCTAAAATAAGTTCAATGGGAGAGACTTGTAAAAAAAAAACCCTAAAAAAATTATTAAAAAAAAAGAAACCTTTATATAAGAATTAGATGGCAAATTAGAATGTGATAATTTCAAGGGGAGAAAGGTTGAATGCAAATTATGATATAAGCACACATAACAATGTGTATCCGTTTAAGAGTCAACATCTCGGTGAATGCACTTGCGTTAATTTGACCCTGTATTGATCAAAACACTCAATAAATAGTCATAATGTGAGGTTAACATTTCAATAAAAGCATTTGCAATGAGTATAATTTCAAAAATAAGAAAGTATAATTAAAAAGCTTAATAACCTCCTTTAATTTATAAACTCCACTTCTAAAATAAAGTACTTTGTAATATGAGACTTATAACACATCAATGAGGTGAGCTGGAAATTTTCTCTCAGATCATGGTCAAGACCATTTGTGTCAACTTAGAAATGACAAGAGTTATATATAAGATATACATGTTATGATGTTTTCATCAATTTAATGTTAATTTCTATTTTCATCATAAGAAATCTGTGCCTATAAAAATGAGCACAAAGGGAGAAAGAAGCAAGAGAGAATAGTAAGGAAGGAGGAGGGGTTGGAGTAGGAGTAGTGAGGTTGAGCTGTAAGCATCGTGCAAAAACGTGAAAGGAGGAATTAATAACAAGTCATGATAGGGGGAAGAAGGGTTAGAAAGTACAAATGATAATTCCACTAAAATATTGTGATTAAGTCAGAATGAAACCCTTCATTAATTCTTAATTAATTTCTTTAAGCACAATTCCCTAAGCATTAAACATTATTAGCTTCCCCCCTTCTCTGTAAACTTGGACACTATTGGATGAGTGACAGCGACAAAACCTGCCACTGTTTGATTCTTTTTTTTTTTTTTTTTGCTTTTCCTTTTTGTGCAGAGATTGATTCTTCTGGGGTTGAATTATTTTTTCCTCTTCACGTTAGTTTACCTTTAATCATTGTTAATTCATGCGTTAATAATGCACCCACCCATTCCTTAAATTAGTGGTTGTCTTCTTGCTTTGATTTGGTCTAATTAATGTGTAAGGTTATATTTGGTAAAAATTAAAAATTGTGAATTTTTATGGTTAATTAATAAAATTTTATGAGAATTCATATATAATTTGGTCATATTTTTGCCACAAAGTAAATGAATGTTTTTGTTTTTGTTTTTTCTGAGATGGTGTTTATTTTTTTTATTAATTAATTGTGCTGCAGCTTGCAGTTGATTCCTTTATAGGCCACATGATTACTATTCATTTCATCAACCAAAAACACCTGTTTATGCCCATTCTTTTATTTTTCGATGTCATGTGAATTCTTAGTAATTTTTTGGACTCATTATTGTGTCTCAATTTATTAATTAAATTAACAACCTTCAGCACAAATAATTAATATATAATAAGTGTGTTTTTTAAGAAGGTAGATTTGATCAGTTCTTGCATTACAATATCCAATATATCAACTTGCAGCTCAAATAGTGGCATCAATTTTTTTATTTTACGCGTTAATTAAAAGTCATCAAGCCCCTTCTTTTGGAACTATTATCATAAAAGTTATTTGCAATAAAAGAGTAAAATGTAAATAACTAATGCCAAATTTATAAAGTAACAATAATTGACCACAATCCCATTTTTGTTATCTATGAACCCTTAAAAATGGATAAAAATAAAACACAGTTTTTGTTTATGGTCAATTTCTATCACAAAGGATGATTGTATTTGTATGTGGTATGTTGATGATACCAAAAATATATAACTCATTTTGTTACATTTCTATTTTACATGTTATATGAGATTTTTTATATTTAGTATCATAACTAAAAATTATTACGAATATATAAAACCAACATTGCCCCGGCTTACATGAATTTTCAAATGGATAACAGCATATATGAGAGGAAAAAAATATAATTATATAAAACACACACTCAACATGATTTTATTTACAGATTTTGTGGTTCTTTATATAATTATATACTACCTCCGATCCTTAATATAAGACATTGTTTGTATTTTATTTTGATCCTAAATATAAGATCCTAATCCACTTTGTCTCTAATATTTATATATTTTTTTCAAGGTAATCATTCTAATAATGATAATTCTAGCCAATACACTTGATTAGCAAGGATATTTTGGGAAAGACAACACCAATTTATTACAAATAACTAACTTAACTTATTTTTTTAATCTCTTCAAATTAGTCAACTAATTTTTATAATCAGGACCGAAGGTAGTACAATATTTAGCTAATAGTAATTAATATATATGAGTGTGTTATACACCAGTGTACCAAATGAGCACCATTGTTACCCAAATTGGCCAAGTTGGCCTTTTGACTGACAAAGTTATTCATTAATTTACCTAAATACAGTATAGCGTAAAGGGGAAAAACTGAAAGCAATTCAAAGAGTAAAGAAAAACTGACATTAATTAAATTGAATGAAAGGGATTTAATGTTAATGAAGCAAAAATCAAAATTTCAAATACTGTGAATGAGAAAAATTATATTGAATGAGTTACATTGTATTTAGACTTAATAGTAATAATAATGCTGAAATATAAATAAATTAGCTAATAGTAGTAAATAGTAATAATATCTTGTTGAATAAATAACTTACCATACCAAATAAAAGAGAAAATAAAATAAAATAAAATAAAACTGCAGCGGCAATAACTTTACAGAACTTGCAAGTCACTTAGTATTATTATATCCATATATCTCTGCATGGAAAAGATGCTCCAATGTTGCTTAAATTACAATTTTGCCACAGCTTTACTCCTCAAAACCCCACCTCTCCCTCCTTCACTTTCGCACAAACACCCACCCACACACGGAGAGACCCCAATCCTTTCTTTCTCTTTAATTACAGCAAGCTTTCATTTTCTCACTCCTTCTCTCTACAATCATACACATTATTCGTTCATGGAAGTGCCTGAATACTTTGTCGGTGCCTACTTCGCCTCCGGAGGGGACCATTTCTCTCCGGAAAAGCGCCATTCTGACCAGAAGCCTGCCGAGCCTTTTGCCGTCGACGACCTCCTTGACTTCTCCCATGCCGACGCTATCATGTCCGATGCTTTCCTTGATAATGTCGCCGGCAACTCTACCGACTCATCTACCGGCACTGCTATTGACAGCTGCAACTCCTCAGTTTCTCGTGTCGACAACCGTTTCTCCGCCAACTTTGGCCCTCGTCCCTTCGGCGATCATCAGCTGTCTGGCGAACTCTGTGTGCCGGTGAGTCTTTGTTTTATCGCTAACCTGAAGCTGCTATTGGTCAAGTTTAAATGATAAGCTCTCTGATAATTACTGGAGTTTTTTTTCCTCAGCTTTCTTTTGTCGGTTTGTGAATTTTTTACTCTCAGGTTGAATTTGTTCTTTTACGTGAAAATGTGATATGAAATGCTTTGAATTCGCAATGGAAATTTGTCTTGATTGATGGATTTATTGCAGTATGATGACATGGCGGAACTGGAATGGCTATCGAACTTCGTGGAAGACTCGTTCACCGCACAAGACGAGCTGAAAACACTCCACCTTTTATCCGGCACCACCACCGCTTCCGCATTTGGCGCCAAACCTCAGACTCCAGAATCTTCCTCCTCTTCCGAAACCCTCCCGCCTTTCGCTCCCGATGCAGCTCGGAACGCACCGTTTTTCCGTCCGGAAACTCCATTGCCAGGCAAAGCACGGAGCAAGCGCTCACGCGCCGCTCCTGGAGATTGGTCCACGCGCTTCCTCCATCTCGTAACGCCAGGACCGCACGACCAGACAACCACAACGGAAGCCAAACCGGTGCAAGCTAAGGCGACGGCAGTTAAGAAGAGGGAGAGCTCAAATTCCGATTCCTCAGGGAGGAAATGCCTGCACTGTGCCGCCGAGAAGACTCCGCAATGGCGGACAGGCCCGATGGGTCCGAAGACGCTGTGCAATGCTTGTGGAGTCCGGTACAAGTCCGGCAGGCTGGTGGCCGAGTATCGACCGGCGGCTAGCCCGACGTTCGTGTCGACGAGGCACTCGAATTCTCATCGGAAGGTCTTGGAGCTGAGGAGGCAGAAGGAGCTGCAAAGGCAGCAGCACCAACAACTGATGAGCCAAGCATCCATTTTCGGCGTATCCAACGGCGGAGACGAGTTCTTGATCCAGCATCACGGTGGGCCCGACTATAGGCATATCATCTAGGGACTGCGAACGCAGTAACAGTAAATTAGGGTGGAGCTCCAAGCCGAACGGGCAAACTTCTACTAGTCTGGGGGGAAAACTTTTGTGTTAAAAATTTTGAATTTTTTTTAGGTCCTTCATAATTTAGCATAAGTCAGATAATTGGGGAAAAAATTGTAGAATTAATCAAGGGGAGGGCGGGGGGAGATAGGTGAAGAAGAAGAAGCTTCATTTATTCGGTTTGTAGAATGCAGTCTTTAATAATTTTTTGGCCTAATTTGGCAAAAATCGCAGCTTTTTTTTTTCTTTTTAAATCTATTTCGTGGGATAAAATTGGGGGCAGCCGACCTCATTCTCAAAATCAATGGGCCTGGCCATGAAAATTAGTGGTAAAGGATTAAGCAGAATACTCCCTCCGTTCCTTATTATAAGAGACAAATAACTAAATTACGTTGATCAAAAAAACAGTTAAAATTAGTTGAGGACAATTAATATGTAAAAAGTATAATATTTTTTCCAACAATACCCCCATTAATAAGGGGAGAGAGTATGAGAGAGAATAATTAAATTATTAAAAGAAAGAGAAGTGGGAGGGAGAGAGAGTATGAGTGGGAGACAAAATAAATAGGGGTGAAATAGAAAATCAATACAAAAAAAATAGAGACAACTTTTAAGTGTCTCTTATATATTGGAACATGCCATAAGCATCAAATGTCTCTTATAATAAGTAACGGAGGGAGTAATATATAATTGTCTTGAAGGACGCAAGTGTATGGTAGAATAAACATCGGAACTCAAAATCGCTGGGGGATTGCTTCATATCTTATGGATCTTATTAAAAAGACTGCCATATATATACACACACATAAGAATTATTCCAGAAGAAAGGCAACTTTTTTTAAAAAAAAAAAATAATCATAGTCATCATTTGAGGTTTCAAGATAGGATATCATGAAAAAAACGGTAATTATGCAAAATAGTGGGGGTGGAGAATAAAAGCCTCATTTCTAAATACAACATATAAATTTTAAAATTATGCAAATTAAGGACTTGGTTTGTATATTTGAATAATGACATATTTTACTCTTTTTATAATTTGTCTCTAATTAAAATGATCTTTTTTTTTTAATAGAAAAAAAGTAACATGTGGGAGAAAGGGTGAAAAGAACGAGGGGTGGTGGAAGCCGAGGGAGGGGCATGGGTTTCAGTGAAATGAAGAAATGATGATGAGGGAGAGGGGGGGAGTGGCCAGAGAGTCATCGTTGTGTGTACGTAGTACCATCCTCACATTGAAATGCGTTAGTATTAAATAGAAAGGAATTATTCAACCCTTCGTAATAGGAGAGCTGCACGCTCGCTCCCACCCAGCTGGCTAGCTAACTCCCAATTAAAAAAAAAAAAAAAAGAATTTTTCTTGAGCTAAGCCAAGCTTGCACAAATGGAGGAGGGGCAGAGTCATGTGAGAGTTTTAGAGTCCTTGTGGGAGGATTGAGACCCTCCGCCTTCTGTCCACCCGATCCTCGACACTTCCTCTTCTCCTTGGGCCCCACCTATCCTTCTTTCCTTTCATTTTTGTTTAAAATTTTTTTTAGATATGTCTCCACATTCAAAGAGCGTGTAAAAATATATTTATGGATCGTTCATCAACAATATTCTTGCATCAATTGCAAGATTTAAATTCATAACTCTGTAGATTGCAAACTAATTTCTCCTTGCTATGTTATTCATTTGTTTGATTAAATTAAAAATGAGCGGTTAAGTACATATAGATTCAGAAGATGTTCGGATAGAAAATAAATCATGATTTTAAAAGTATTTTTATAGTATACGAAATAAATATATAAAAGAATTTATCTCATTTTAAATAATTTTTAACAGTATTTTTTTCATATTACCAAACACCTCCTTGGCCTTGGCAGCCCATTGAAGAGGTGACGTACGGTCTTATTACTATAGTGCATGCGGTGCCATACATTATTAATTCGTAATCGCTGTGCTATGTCCCAAAATTATAACCCAACTACTTTACTTCGTCTAGTAAGACAAAAAATACAACTACACAATAACAACTATTTACTACCATAGTCAGTCAAAAGAGTTATATATATATATTTGTATGTATGAGGTGCTAGCTCTCTTTCTGTGCAACTTGTTAGTACTTTTAGAACATCATGTGACTCTGCCAAATGAGAAGAAGAGGAAAAACAAATAAAGTTAAAGCGGCAAAAGTAAAGAAAAGCAAAAACAGGGGGAGCTTTCATTTAAATTAAATCATGGATTTGCATGGCAAAAGGATAGGTATGGCTAACGGACTCATACATATATGTAAGTTTTAGAGAGAGAGAGAGAAAGAGAGAGAGATGAAAGGAAAGGGTACGCACAAAGTACAGTGTATGTACATATATATTCAGGGTGGGTTGTGTGGCTATTGTCGGCATTTTAATTTTCCTCCATATAATAATAAATAATAAATAATAATAATAAAGGAATATATATATATATATTTATATATATATGATAAAGGATATGCATGTGGGTGATGAAACCAAGCACATGCGCTACGTGACGTGCATGCCTGCTACCTTCCTTATCACACTCTCCACTGTTCCCTTCATTAATATATATATATATATATATATATATTTCAACAATATCTATTTTTCAATCACACGATATTATTCTTATTCAAAAAAGACATAATACGATCAAGTATATGAGTCTCTTCCTTCATTAATTTTATTCTCTCCATCTATACGTATATATTGGTTTAATTTCTGTCTACTAGCAAGATAAGGACCAACACATCAACTGTATAAAATTAATTATTTTTCAGTTAGATTTTTTTTGGTATGCAAGATTGGTAATTAACCTAAGTTGGTTATGTATTAATCATTTTTTATGTCTGTTTAATGAATTCAAACATGCCATGTAGTTTTTTCAATGTCAACAACAATAATTTGGTTTGTTGTCATAAAAATTTCTAGGTTGATATCATATTTAATCCCTAAAATTCGTTTTGATTTTGGTTCTTGAAATTTGATTTCATTTTGGTTTGGCTAAACATTTTTGTTTTAGGAGCTAAAATTGGTGATTTCAAATTTCAAAAACAAAACCGAAATGAGGTCAAATTTCAAAAACTAAACTAATACTAATCCCAAAACTTCTCTATAAATCAGAGGTTGCAAATTTTATTCTGTTTGTGACATCAGTTACTTAATGTCCACCCCTTTCAATAAAACAAAATAATTTGGTTTGTTGATTTGATTCAAAGTTTAATAGATTATGGGAAACAAAATCCAACGTAAAATGAAAAGGGAAGTGCCGTGAATAGGACTATGTGGACTTGTGTGTTAGCAATATATATCGGATTCAATATTAATAAATTAGATAACAGACAAGAGGAGATTGTATGAATATTTTTCGACAGATATACGAATATTTTAAGTTAATTTAATTTCTCTTTAACTCTATTATTGTGATCAGTTTATAACTAATGAAGTTTTAAATATACTATGCCCATTCTGAAGGCATCTTTTCACGTTCTGTTATTCTAAATTAATTACTTTATACCTGGAATGCTTCTTTTGGTATCATTTCGTCCATTTGCTCTTATTTCTTTTGAACCCTTCAATTTTCTAACCACATCAGAGTTCTCCTATGTTACTTTTCTTTTCTTTTCTTTTTTTCTTTTTACAGTTATTATATATATATATACTCGCATTCAAGCCTTTTGCATTGGACTTTAATTTTTATGGTTTACATATATGTATGTAATCTTCTATACATATCAACCATATGCTAGATATAATCAAATTAATTTATATTGTAAAGAAAATAAATACATAGCGCTAGTTAGTCATTTATTAGTGCCGTAATCAATTAATGATAAATGTTGAAGTAATTAGAGTATTCTGATAATAATAAGACGACTTTGTCTGATTAAGGGAAAAAATAGAGGTTTAAGTGGTTGTTTATGCGTTAATAGGAGCAAAAGTGTTGTAAAAAGTAGAGGCATTACAATGGGGCAAAGAGGTACGGTCAAATTGAGATGTTCCTAGAGATTCTACACGTAATTTATAAAGCACGTACCGTAAAAATATATATTTAATTTGTTTGATTAAACTTTGGATTAAGGATATACCAATTGGACTTCGTGCAAATAAAGTTTAATTTGGAATCATCTCACCAATCGAGGCTTCTTTTTTATACTGCTCTAGTCCTTAATACCAGTCGCTTGCAACTTCTTTTTGCATACTAAGAAGGGTTAACATTAGTCTCTTAAATTTATTTTTATTTTGGTTTTGGTCCCTCTAAGAGCAAAATAGCCTATGTTTTTATTAAATTATAGAGATTAATATTCTAAATAAAAAGAAACTTGAGAGACGAAAACCAAAATAAGGATAAATTTGAAGGAACAAAGTTTGTATTAACCCTATTAAGAAATGTATTAAATTGACAAGATTTTTCAATTTTATCCCTATTAAGATTTTTCTCTCTTTACATTTACAAATCATTATCATATGTCTCCATTCTTTTTCTTTTTCAAATAAGAATTAAATAAGGTTAAATTAAAAAATAAGTATTAAATATACTACAAATGACTTATTACATTTAGAACCAAAACTTTGCCCTATAAGTGACTTATATTAAGGAGAAAAGTGGTACCTTAATGAAACTAACTAATAACCAATTATTTTCATCGACACCTAATCTGAAGCCTTGAACAGAGTGGGAGAAGGTCAAAACCTTGTAACGTAATTACTGATTATATTAGTTTAATTGCTTGTGTAGGTCATTTAAATGGGGTTAGTTGAAAGTTTAAGATTCATTATTTATTATTGAATCAAGTACTAATTTAATTAGCATCATATATACTTTTTTAATCTGAATAAGTGACAATTAAAAATTACTATATGTTCTGATTACAATTTACATGTCAAGTATATTAAAAGTTTCAACTTCTGTACGTAATAGACTTATCATATATGAAAAATTGAAGTCTAACTATTAGACGTTAATAGAAATATAGACTTAAGAGTTTCATTCTCTTTTATAACAATGCAGAGATGATGAAAATTGAAAGGGTGATATTTCAAATTTTTTGACAAAATATTTCAAAATTCATTACCAAAAATCTTCAAAAATATTTCAAAATTCATTACCAAAAATCTTAGGGAAAATATAAATTGGGTAAAAGAGATTATGACAGATAATCCCAAGTTGTTGTTATTATTATTGTTATTGTTATTATTATTCATCCAACGAAAACGCGCGAGGTTGGTGACCTTTAATTAGTAGAAAAATTGCGTTTGTTTTATCGTAGTAACAAAACCAATTAAAAAAAAATTGAATGTATTGCTGTAATTTAGATTCAACTAAAATCCTCAATTCGCAAACAGTTTAAATATACTAAAAATTTGGATATATTAGTTAACTTGATCATGATGGGCCTACGATCTACTTGAATGACAATCGCTTCACGTGGGTAAAGATAATAAACTGTGTAATTGTATTCAAATAGCATCACCTTCTGATTCGAAGTGGGTGAACATGATATATAGATCTGGCACACACTCGTTAATTAATTATAAACAAGTTATACAGATAATAATAAATAATAATAACCATAATAACATTGGACAATAGAGCCAAGTAATACAAGAAGGATAGCTCCAAATTCAGAAATAAATAGAATCGACTAGGATCATGAGGCTTAATTTTCAACTGCAGATATGTATATATGTAGTTAATTATATTGTAGCATCTACCAGTCTACATATATAAACTGAAAAAGCTGTGTGTTTGAATCACTTTGGCAATTGCCAAGAAAGCAAATGGCTTCCTGGTCTCTGTGAGATTATTTTAGCTTTTATATCTGTGTGTGTGTACAAGTATAAATAAGTTAAATGTCCATGCCCTAGCTGTAACGTCATTTGACTATAGTTCCCTATAGCTAGCTGATAGGTATAGACGTATAGTATATATTTCATATGACCACAAGAAACTTAATTATTATATTGTTGTGATTCACTGTCATGACTTAAGCAATAATAATCATAATTAAATAGCCGAATCTTTGTGATATATAGTGTCGACATGACAATAATTAAGTCTGAATTTTGGTGATCAAAATGATTAAATTATAAAGACAAGTGTTTTGAATTAGCATATATTTGTCTTGTGCGTGCGTGCATGTGTAAGAGACCAAGGGAATTGCTTTCAAACATTTCTATTTTTTTTTTCCAATTCCTATAATGTTGTAACATGCATAGGCACTAATCAAAGTCTTCACATTTTCGTGGAGAGATTTTTCTAAACCTTTTTTTAATTATTATTTAAGATTGTATGATGAGAGGTTTTCTTTTGGTCAAATGTATGATGAGATGATTACAAGGTTGACTAATTCAAGTGATAAGAATGCGATGGATGGATATAGAGAGGTTTAATATTTATTCAAACCCTCATACACAGAATTGTGCATTTTCCCCTCTTTCTTCGTTTAGAAATGAAAGGGGTATGTAAGAGTGATAAAGTCAATTTGCAGTAATTCCTAAATCTTCTGGTTCTTGGTCACAAGCACAGTGAGTTTGCTTACTAAAAAAAAAAACAAAGAAAGAAAATCCTCCAGTTTAGAAATTGCCACCAGGCATGGTGTTTGGGGGAACTAGTTTTGATACTTATTACAGATATGAGTATTATAATACTCATCGCTACAGTAAAATCTAACATATATAGAATCAGTTTTAATGGTTGATTTCAACTAGTAATTTTCAAATAAAAAATTATTTTTTAAAAAACTTACAATTAAGAGATTATATTTATTTTGGATTATATGCCTATTTAAAGAATTTTTTTTTTCAAAAATAAAAAATATTAAATAGTAAATCTCAACCATCTATATATTAAATTTGAATGGTCGAGATTCGATGAGTATCATGTTGCTTATCACTACAAGGAGCATTGAAACTGGTTCCATGTTTGGCTGGGCATTTTTTCCATGCTTAAGGCCTTCTTATGGTTCATTTGGTATAAGGAAAATGAAAAAAAAAAGGGAGAAATTTTTTTAATGGCATCGCATTTAAAAAAATTTTAAATTAAAGAAGTGAAGTTAAAAGGCTTTAATTAATTTTTAAGATTAGTATAATCTTTAGTCCTTTAAATTTACCCTCATTTTTAGTTTTGGTCTCTCAAGTTTCAAACAATAAGTTTTAATCCTTCAAATTTCTTTTTATTTAAAACATTTATCCTTGTGATTCAATAAAAAAAACTAAACCATTTTACTTGGACCAAAACCTATGACTTTAAATTTGAAGAACCAAAACCAAAATGAAAACAAATTTAAAAGACCAAAACTTATATTGACCCTAATTTTTTATTATTCTTTTATCTTACCTCTTCTGTTTATTAAAATTTTAAATCCTTACTTCTCCAATCTTTTAAATCGAACTCATTCAAAATTTTTATTCTCTCCATTTTCTCAATCTAATTAAACATAGGTTAAGTGTTTCTTTACGTTTAGCGCAAAATCTTTTTTTTTTCCCCTCTCGGCTCACTGAATTGTATTCTTATCTCTCTCTCTCTCTCTCTCTCTCTCTCTCTCTCACACACACACACACACACACACACACACACAAAGAGATCGGAAAATAGAAGCTGGCAAAAAATTTTCCTAATTGGACGAGAGAGTTGGGCTTTGTAGGTGTACCCATTTTGAGAAGATAAAAGTTTCTCGGCGGATGAGATTGTTATGCTCTACCTCATCTGCAAATAAGAGAGTCCAAATAGAAAAGGGGCTCTTATGAGTGGGTTATCATCTACGGAAGAACGGGAAAATATGTTTGCTAGGCTAATGATAAAGTCGCACATTAAGTGTAGATTATTCGCAGTTAATTATTACGAGCAGCAGTTTATATTAGATGAAAGAGGTGACATATCTATATCTATATACACACACACATAAGAAGAAGTTGTATAAACTTAATAGCTCAAGGTTTTGGGTTAAAAGAAAATCATGTACCGCCGACTTACGCATACAATTGACTTTTTCTCAATCTAATGAATCGAAGCAGAAGGCCTAGAAAGATCTTTTAAGTGTATAGCGTCCTCCTTGGCCAACGTGAGAGTACATAAAAGAGAGATAAATCCACAGGCACATCTACACCTATACATGAACTGGAAATTAATGAAATTAAGCTGGCGAAATCGGAAAGACAAGCATGAATGGTGGAAGCCAAAGTAAAGAGATCGATCTGGTGAGTGAGTGAATGAAAATGAAAGGCCCCCTTTTTGTTAATGGCCACAATTAGTTAGTATGGATCTCCAATCCTAAAGCAAAGTTTGATGAACAATTCCACACAACATTGACTCTACGTGATCCCAACCTCATGTTTACCTTTGCCTTTTGCTTTTGCTTTTGCTTTTTGTGTTTTGCTTCTCATCAGTCCACACACTCCGTGACCCTATTTAATTCAATATCCAACCTCCATCCTCTATTTTCCTCTTTCAATTAATATAGCACGTATGGATGTCAATGTACAGTGTAATCAGCTAGCTCTATAAATAGGGATTGGATTGAACTGATGATAACATCATAAGTTTTGGATATGGGCTGCAATTTATGTGTTACATATGGCAAACAGGAATACTACTCGTTGCTCCATTGAACTTGAGCCTAGGACCTTAAATGAAGGCCAGCTCTCTCAAGCCAGAGTACTTACCACTTACTTTCCCTCTTAATTTTCGTTGTTTAATTTCTTCTTTCACCTTTCACTTCTTCCCCCACAATATTCCCACTTTTTGTGCATGATATGGTATATGGACTACTGACAGAAAGCCTATCAGATATATAATGCATGCATGTGTGCTTAGTTTTACATCAGAGGAATGGTTTTTGATTTCTTATGTGAAGCTAAACATGCTTACAAAGAGAGTAACCTGTCTTTTCTTGATGCAGAAAGTAGCTGAAGATGTGATGCAGAAGATGGAACCAATGGAAGCCTCTTGTCTTTTTACAGAGGTAATTAGTCCACTCTGTATTTACTTCAAGAACCAGCTACACACACACACACTACATTTATTCCTTAATATTAGAGCCAGTTTGACTTTTAATTTGGTCCTAAATATAAGATCCCAATTTACTTTGTCTCTCTTATTTATTTTCAAAGTAGTCATTGTAATAGTTTTATATGTTAAAGATTCCGTCAAGTGGTAGTTCTAGTTAATATACATAATTAGTAAAGATATTCTAGGAAAAATAATACCAATTCATGACAAATAACTAACTTAACAAACTTCTTTGATCTACTCAAATTAGTCAACTAGGTTTATATTAAGAACCAGAGGTAGTATATATATACATATATACTGTCTCTCTTACATTAACTTGAAGAATGATCAAAGCGATGAATATGTGGATGAAGGGACTGGAGAATTCAGAAGAAGAGGTGATCACGGTGTTGGATGAAGGAGAGGAAGTAGTTGAGAAGCCAGTCGGCTGCCTAGAGAAGATTGAAGACATCATAGAAGAGAAAGCTTGCAATATCAGTCTGTACCCCTCAGTCGTCGTGGTTGATTCTCCATCAGATGATCAACTACTTCATATTCACCAACACGAACCTCTTTCTGCTCCTTTTTGATTGTCTCTGCATATCATATATTTGTAATAAAGCCCCCCTTGTTTTCCCGGCTCTCTTGTAATAAATTTATGAGCAAGCAGAAACTTTAATGTGATTATTTCTGGAGTAGCAGTACTTGTAAAAACTAATATGTGATGATGAGCTCTAACAAAGAAAGGAAATAGTTACTTTGGTAGAGATTGATGCCTAACTTTTACAGACTCTTAAAAAAGATAATGACAAGAGATTGATGGGATTCACATGTTATGTTGGTAATTGACTTTGAATTGGGGGTCACAGGCAGAGGCAGCAGAGAAGCTTCTAGCTAGCTAGTTGGATGTATCATTGATAGTCTATAAAAATTACTGCTCTAAGTATGTATGTTACAGGTCTAATCCACAGGAGTCATTAGTCTTTCAAGTGATTCCGGGCCAGCCCGAACTTTTTTGCATAATAAAAATTTATCCAGTTAGTTAGATATTTGAATAGTGAATTTTAAGTTATACTCTTCCGGTCCTAATTATAAGACCCAATTGACTTATTTGAGGAGATTAAGGAAGTAAGTTAAGTTGGTTATTTATAATAAATAAGTGTTGTCATTCCTAAAATATCCTTGCTAATTAAGTATATTGACTAAAACTATCATTATTAGAAGGATTATCTTGAAAAAAAATTGCATAAATATAAGAGATAAAATGGATTGGGGTCTTATAATTAGGACCAAATAAAAAGTCAAATTGGGTCTTATAATAAGGACCGGAGGAGTATTTAATAATATTTGAAAGTGGAAATATCAAATATGTATTGTGAACATGCAAATCTATCATTTGTATTTCTTTTGCAATTGATAACTCCTTTCAAATCATTTATAAGTTAACGTCTGATGTTTTATTAAAATCATTCTCCGATTGTTATTGGTAATTACAAATGAAGCGGAAGCTTTGTCATGGAGGGATAAAATTTTAAAATGACGCACGTATATTGAGAGAATATGAAAATTGCAGTGCGAGATATTTTAATTTTAATTTTATAGATGTATAGTGATATTTTTTATTCTTAGGATTTAATTTTTGGGAGAATTACTATAAAGTTTTAAAAACAAGATTGAATCATCCTAAAAAATTCGATAATAATTGAGGAGCATGTAATGATAAATTTTAATAAAAAGTGACAATAAATTTACATGTTATTACTATTTTTGATAAGTAATCCCACCTTGGTTTATTGGGGTCAACTGTTTTGTGTCTGAATTCGAAAACGACAACTGCGATGGAAGTTGCTCCGGACACATCCGTGTCGTTTCAAGCTGAAGCCCACCCCATTCTGGGACATATAAATAACGGAGCGGGCCTTAGGGTTTTCAAACGGTCTAATTGAAAGGAACGTTGGGAGGGAAGGTTCTTGGAAGGTACATACAGAACATATTCAAGCAAAGAACCCCTCCCAATTTCATAACCACAATCGATCACATCGACCTCTTCCGCCAATTCCACAAGGTACTCTCTTCTTCTCTCCAATTCGATATGTCTGAGTGCTTGTCTATGCTGTTTGCTTCCTTAGAAAACCCCGTAAACCATTGAAAAATTAGAATACCATGTTTGCTCAGAGATTTTCGCGAACTAGTGGTTTTAATTATATGAGGATGCCGGCGCTGCATTCGAAAGCACAGCTTGTCCTTACTTATAGACTTGGGTGGATTCTTAATGGAATTGGAGTTTTTTAATTTACTGTTTCCCGAAGAACCATGTAGGGGATTATAGCTCGTGGTTTTAAATTGCTAATACCTTCTTTACCTACGAGTCTTGTTGTTCTCTTTTATTTGTAATTGATGACTTTTACCCTCCACCTGGATTGTTCAATACGTGTTACTAACTTTTGCACTTTGTATGTGCTATTTATGGTTCCTATGCTTGATGAAATAGAATATGGCTAACGCATTAGCTGCTCAGGTTGTTTTATATGCTTTTATTACCCAGTCTGAGCAATAACTTTGTAATTTTGTTGAGTTTAGCTCATCTCCATTAGTCTATTTAATATTTATCACCGAATTCTGAGTGTCCTGTTCTAAGCTACGCTTTTTCAGCCTAATTGATGATAAGACATCTATTTGGTTAGATTAAACTAATTTGCCCGCGGGGCCACCCTCTCTCTCTCTCTCTCACACACAATCCATTTTTGTTAGTTCTCTGTGACAGTTTGCTGTACAATCTAAATTGACTTGTTGAGGTTAAGTATCTGATAACTGGTATGCAGCCATCACTTCCTTTCCGTGTAAAGAACACAATATGAGCACTGTTGTGCAAAGAACCCCAAGATCAGGCAGGCAGTCATTATTCTTCCAAGATTTGGCTTCACCTGTTTCAGCTCGGAGAGGAAAATTTTCAAGTCCAGGTCAGGCAGCTGCAGCATCTTCTCTATGGCGTGAGAGCACTAGCGTTTCAGACCTCCCACCACCTCCTATTTACACCTTAGAAGATAGATCAGATATTTCTCCTGAATCAGGCATACCAGATTACCAAATATCTCCTGAAACTAAGTCTGATCCTAGAAGTCCAATCCAAACTGTGAATAGGGAATTTTCAACTCCAGCCAAAAGCAAATCAGAGGCCAGTACATCTTATGCTTTAAAGGGTGTTCAGCAGAACCAGCAGAGCTCACCAGGCTTGAGTTGGTGGTCACCTACGTCTGCAAAGAGTGGCGGTGAACAAGATGAGAAGGGAAGGAGTTCACCAGTTGAGGGTGTAGTCCAGTCGGGTGCTCTTGTCACTGTTCCTCCTCCAAGGGAAGTTGCAAGGACAGATGTTCAGCGAAATTCCTTGCCTGCAGGGAATCATAATGAAGGGGAGTGGATAACTGTTTATGGGTAATGTCTTGACTTTTAACTTTGGTGCTAGAATTTTACCAATTGCTGCTATTTTTTATTTATCTTTTTTGATTTTATTGAAAGCATTACTGGACTGGTAGAAATGCTGAATTGGTTTAGTTTTGATAGTTGCTAAGGTTAAAACAAAATTCCAGTCATTGACCAAAAAAAAAAAAAACCCAGTCAAGAGAGATTTATTGGCATATTGGTTGTAGATTCTATCTTAAACTAAGTTCAGAAGATTTTAAAACTTGTGCATAGCTGGTGCTTTAAATAATTTAACTGAAACGATAGTTGTCAATATTTTTTCAACAAAAAACTTGTCTTCATTCGTTTTCTATTCCTTATGTGGCCTTTGGGAGTGAAGGTGTCGAATCATTTTGCCTGAATGCGATTCATGGGCTGATGGAACCCAGAAACAATTTTTTAAGATCTTTACGGCCATGATATTCTTGTTATTAAATCATTTTAGACAAAAACAGGTATTAGATTAGGAAATGAAGGAGTTGCAATAGCAGAAATGAGATATTCTCCTGATAGAAACCAAAGATTACAGAAGCCAGAACGAATAAGAAAAGCATAACATCTGATTTTTCTTGGTTTATAGACGCACAAGCATAATGAATCATGCTTGTGGATACTAAATAACTTAGGTAAACAAAATATTGCTATGCTAATTGGGGCATCTTTCTTGCCTAGCTGGCAGACAGTTAATCTGGGGTATGCCCAATTGTTTAATTAATAGCATTTACTTTCTTTATCATATCCCATGGACGTATTTGTTACAAAGCTTTTTCTCTGCACCTGGCAGGTTTTCTCCTGGGGACACTAATTTAGTTTTAAGAGAGTTCGAAAAATGTGGTAGAATTTTGAGACATGTTCCTGGTCCCAGGGATTCTAACTGGATGCACATCTTATATCAGGTTGGTCTTCTTTTCTCAATTAAACATCATAAATAGATTTTTATTCCAAAGCATTAGTTGCATGCTGCATTTTTTTTCCACTTTTGGTCACCATCAACATAGTTTCATCAAGCGGCAGCCCCGTTGCATGTCATGAAGATGTTTTTCAAATAGGAATGCTTATCTATGACATTCTTCACCGGGGGTAAAATCTGATGGACGGCCATAAGAATTTTTTTTAAATAAATAATTTTATTAATAGTTAAGAGATCCAAGCTATAACTGCATGGGAGTCATCAGTTTATCTATTATTATTTTATGAGCTATGTGCAGACCAACTGTCACCTGTCCAAACACTGCATTTTGTACTTCCATGAACTATGATTATGAAACAATCATCTTGGATGAGTAGTATACCTGTGTGATCCTCCACTACTTATGTAGTGCTTCACAACTATAATATTAATTTTAAACTTCATTTACTAATGCAGAACCAATCTGATGCTCAAAGGGCTCTAAACAAGAATGGGATGCAAATTAATGGAGCCCTGATAGTGGGTGTGAAACCTTTGGATCCCTTGCAACGTCAAGCTTTAAATGAAAGACTTGCCAATCAGGAATTTATGCCCTTACCTCCACTGTCTGCTAGAGCAACCGAAGGGAACACATTCAGATCTCCTCCTTATATTCAGAATGGCAGTACAAGCACTCGGCAAGCAGGTGCAATTGCTTCCCCGGCAAAATCCGTGGTTTCAAAAATAATGGATTTGATGTTTGGTGTCTAGAATAGTTGTTCTTGTGAACCAGGCTATATCAAGTGTTTTATTGTAACCAAGTAAATAGGCTTTACAGCTCATCGTGTGTCATTCAAGTGTTTTGTCATGTCTTGTGCATCAGAGTTAAGTTGGGGAATTTTTATGACAAGGATCTGAGCTATGAGGAATTCTGATATCTTACTATTGCATTAGTGGCTACCTAGATCAACTTTGGGAACATAACCTACATACTTGTAATATTCCAGGTGATGTGATCTTGCTCATAGTCAATACATGAAACGAAACAATTGGAACTGTATTTTCTTATAAATTGGCCAGAAGATTTCTTGCTGGCGTTATATAGAACTCAGAAACTTTCCATATTTTCCATGCATGAACCGTTGACGGCGGATCCATTTTTATTTTTATTTTTTGTTTCAAGTACCATCATGTTGTATGTATCTTGCCAACTAAAATAGAAGCCACTTTGATGTCATGCTTCAAGGTATGTCACATATACAGGGCGATGTTTAGTACAGATATCATTTTAAAATAAAGTCTCATATTACATTGTTTTTATTTTTGGCAAAATTTTATCAAACGTGACCGACCACTTTTAAGTGATACTACC